CCGTTAATCTATGACTTTGTCATAACGAACCTTTTGGCAATACCTTTCATATACCATTCTGGTATATGGAATTTTCAATGAAAATAATAGCATGCTCTCTCAAGGCACGGGGCCCTCCATTTATTGGGGACACATTTTTTCATTAGATATTCGAATTCTTGACTATGGGCATCGACAACAATTCAAAAAACCATTGCATCAAACATTTTTTCAACCCCAAGTAAGTCAAGCATAAATTATGTAATTGTTTCACTTCAACTTCTATTCTGTTTTTGTATTGTGGAACTTCCAATTATTAGGCTGAAGATGGTTTTCTCATAAGACCAAAACATGTCCCTTATGATTATGTAACAACATCATTAAAATTTGAGGAGATGACTCTGAGCATTCCTTCATTAGTTGGGAGTCATCTCAGATATGCAGTTTTCATATGGGTTGCAAGTTCGGAATCTCATATATTTGCCGCTATTTACCGAGAGGAGATTTCCATAGTTGATAATGTACACCAAACCTCGTGAAGTCCAACCGAGACCTTCGAAGAATGCCAGATCCTGAATTTGAGGCAGCCCTGTCATTTTTGGGTTAGCATTCAATACCACGTGAACAAAAACCGTTCAAAACTTCACGTCATGATTATATTACATAATTATAAGGAATTCGATATTCACGTAAGCAGTTAGGAGACGCTTCATTTTTGTGTTTTGCACAAAATATCATCGTGATACGAAATGTGTTTCCTAACCTGTTAGGTACAATATTTTTTCTTATTTTGATGAAACTTTTCGTTTGAACAGAAATAATGACCAATGTTCGAGGACACATTTGATATCAGATTTGACAAGTGATATAATAATAATAGTGATAATAATATAATAAAAGCTTTTATTGGTAGGAACGAGAATAAAAAATGTACAGGATAGTGACAAAAATGTATACATCTCTACCAAAGGGCAGAGACAAGTGCTTTTTTCCACTCGACTTTAACTAGGAAATTACAAAAATACACGGGAAAAAGAAGAAAAGAACAAGATACATGAAAATTCATTGATTTATATCTGGCAAAATATTTTACGCTCTATATAAATACAGCCAAGATTGACACGTGATCAGAAGGTAATTCTGGACTTGTTACAGCTGCAATTCACAAGTTGAAAGCAGTTTTTTCATACGACTATTAAAACTCAAGATAATCATTTCCGAGATTCAAAACGAACATTGAGGTTGAGGATACCACTGCGGAAGGTCATCTTCTGATAGGAAAAGATATGGAGGAAACAGAATGCACTAGTCATTTCGTCCATTCATATTGTGATGACGTACCTGTTGTTTGAAATGAGCATTCCATCACTAGTTTGCTTTCGTATACTAGTGCAAAATTTGGTGATCGTGACTCTCTGTGGAATAAAAATAAATGAAAGGGATATTAGGAGTGGTTGAACGGGTTTGGCATCATTGTGTAAATCAAATTTTATTCACCAAAAATCGACCTGAGCAAAGAACGAATACAGATCGAACAACAACAATACCCTGTTCCTAAAATACTAGTGAGTCTATATCATATGAACCGTTGATCACAAAAAGTTCACCAAATAAATCAAGTTCAAATCGCGAACCATCAAATAGACAAAAATCGTCAATGATACTGTAGCAGTAGTAGGAGTAGTAGGAGGAGAGGCTGTAGCCAAGCAAGTAGGCCCCGATGAGCCCTTTTTGCTAACCCCTGCTCTCCACATATCTACGCTTCCTTCACCTAGATTTCCTTCACGAATCTCCCTGAACCTCTGATGAAGGCCAGTATGTCCGCCCACTTTTATATAATCAAGTCCTCCTGTTGAAGTTTGTCTACTCCAAAGATTTCAAATCTCAGCCTTCCGTACGCCTCGCACTCGCAGAGGAAAAGTAGGGTTGTCCTTTATTTCCATAAGTGATAGGTGTGTTGCCTAGCCTGTTGCCTCTGCCAAGCAGCCACTCCTTCCTTGATTTGCTTGGACCGGCCATGAATTCCTTGGCCTGCCTGCAACCTGTGATATTACTCCAGTATTCTTCTAGTGCCTTGTCCGCCCATTCATCGAGGGATAAGGTAATTTGGCTCCTTGCTATACCTAGTACAGGCAGGTCAATGATACAAAATATCTTGTTACTTTTTAATTGGCTTCTGCAGGGCGCAGTAGGTAGGTAGGTTCACACCTTCAATTTTATTGTACCCTGTACTGGGCAGAATATCTGAATACGAAGTAGGTAGATTATAACAAACTTCCTGGCCAAAACGTGATCATCGATCCACTTTCTAACTGTGAAATCATCGAACTGAGAAATATGAGGAAAACGCTATCACTTCACTAGACGACACAATTCTGAACTGAACTGAATCTCTACAAAATCCTAATTAGGAGACACCGACTCTCGTATCTCACCTATCACTGTTCTTGACTTATTTCAGCAAGTCAAATTCTCACTTAGCTTTGAACGTTTCGAAGTTGCTATTCAAATAACCATTTTTCATCTGTAGTAGTCCATACTCAAAGTGGAGTGGAATGATCAAGAAAGAAACCTCAAAGTCGTCCCCACAATTTCAATGTCGACTGCCTCCTTCGACATTAAAATTGTGGTACGACTTTGGGTTTTCTTTCTTGACCATTTTTTTGTTGAAATCGGGAGCAGATTCGTTCCCGAAACGTCCAAAGCTGAGTGAAAATTTTATGGTTTTTCTATATACCTCTATTTCTCTTCTCCAAACCTTTTTAAATACAAATTATTAGTGACAAGCTAGTGAATTTTTGTTTTAGGCTCTCTGATAGGAAAATTCTTAAAACGCAGTGACATTTGGGGGAAAATCATTTGATTTGTCCTTACTACACGTATATTTAGATAATATTCATATCCTCATTTTATAGAAATGAGGAGAAAAAATCCCGAAAAATCTGGAATAATGAGCATAGTGCTTTCCGTGACAGTAAAATCAATTATATGGAGTATAAATAAAACGGTTTCAGTGAATTTTTTTTTTTCAGTTGAAGTAAATCCACATTACTAGGCTAGTTACTTTCTTGGCTACAACAGATACAAAAAAAACTCAGCAAAGAACCTCCTCCTGGGACATTCCTCAATGCACGAAGATGAAAATATATCTCGTTTTTCAAATGAAAATCATCTGCTCTGGCGCGGATCGAACCTAGCAACCTTTCAGTGTTCTGAATACTAGTCGATGGCTCAACCACTGCGCTATTACGCCGTGTTCTGAAGTATATCAAGAAATTATATTGATGTTCGATGAAAGAAATCCCTTTTTCCCCATGGGATCTGTTGTATCGATAAATTCATAAAACTGTACTAAAAGTCACCTCGACCGCTTAACACAGCTCTCAATTCCCCTAACCGTACGATAGTGGAAACCACTCAAGTTTTCAATGTTTCCAGATAACGGACGTTATATTGTGGAAGCGTTTTATCGCTCCGTTGAAGTATTTCGGAGTATTCCAGTATCACTCGCAGCATTGTGTCTCGATATCACATGAAAAATTCATCAATACTTCAAGCATGCATTTCTGAAGGCGAGAATTCCGTATGCTGAATTCCCTACTCATTGGTTCAGCAGGTTTTTATGTTATCGTGACGAAAAACACTTTTTCCGTCGACCTCGTATTAACGACTAAGTTTAATGTAAATGAAATCGTTCATTAATGACCCCTATTAATGTACGATTTGTCTATTAATGTACGATTGTTTTATAGGCAACCAAACATACACCGCGTGCATTCATTGTTTATGCTATAACTTACGGAATCTGCATTTAAATCGAAAATATGGATTTCAATGAAGATTTTCTGTTAACGGGTTCACCTTTCCAAGTTTCTGACACGATTTTAATCCCTGTTTTCTAACACAAGGAATTTATTTTCTATGTTGATCATTTCGACAAATGTCAAATGACACTAATGTCAGTGACAAGGCTACTGGGTGATTCTTAGCAGTTTCCAGATGAATGATGAATTCGCGAACCAAGTTTTCTTCATTGCAGGAGAAATGAGAAATATAGTCGACGGAAAAATTTTGTAACCAACTTGTATATTAAAAAGCGATTAATGATCTCGAACATTAACGCGCTCGCTTCGCTCGCACGTTGAAATATCTCGATCATTAATCGCCCTCATTAATAAACTAGTTGGTTAAATAACTATTTGATATCTGAAATACTCATGCCTCACTTTTGTGATATTAGTATCTCCACTTTTCGATGGACCTTATTCGTCGTATAATTGAAAGAAGAATATAGATAGGCTCTGTTAATATCAAGATGTAAAAGTAACTAAGACATCCATATCCGCGTCTGAATTATCCTGGGTAACTCTGATTCCACGATTTTTCAATAACACCTGATGGTACAATCAAAGCCATCTGTGTCAAATTCTCTCTCTATACAAAGTCAACTTCACGACAAATCACTGTGAATAATAATAACATTGAGGGGTTCCAGACATGAGGATGTGCATCATCAGTGATCTCAAAAATTAGCCCTACATGAAAACGCTCATCATATTAATAGCATTCTTATTATGAGAAAGCTCACATAAAGGTGCAACAATTTGTTATGTTGGAGACACAAACAAAATTGATGAGTATAACATCAAGTTGATTGTTCAAAAAGGAGAAATCATGAACGAACCAACGAGCAAATATTTTGGAGGAATATATGCTTGAAGCAGGTCCCTATCATTAAGGACACCTCGGTGGAATGTAGTGACATGTTTCAAATTCGATATCTTTTCATAAAAAGGCAATCATATTTATTAAGAAATTCAACAAATTTGGTTTGAGAAAAAAACAAATCCAATCCTAGGAGACAATTGTTATTTCAGCCGATAGTATTCCTCCGCCTGTAGAATAGTGAATGAGGCACTTGTGTGTCCTGCGACTTCAACACTTGCTTTTCGGTGACTGTCCATTAGGAAGGCATTGGTGAAATAGTGGCTCCTAGTTGCCTTATCGCTGACGTGGTAGACCTAGGCAAACAACATATACTTTCTTCCATCGGGCGTTTGTGACTCCGAAGATAACAACCTCGATTCGATTTCTAGGTCTACAGGGAATTCCAACGTCTTGATGATTTTCGAACAACCGTCTAGCTTGAAATCGAAGAATTTCAGATGCAGAATGAGGATAACTGGCAGCACATCCAACAGCAGTTGCTGCCACGCCTGTACCACTTCATTTGTGTTAGGAGAGGTTAATCCTTCCAGCTGCTCCTTATTCATAAGTGTCTCCAGAGCCTCGTTGATAGGCTTTACTCTGTCGACATTCAGTCGCAGAGTCAGGAACGGTTGAATATTCTCCGTAGAAACATGTCCAGCTCGTATGATTTCCGAAACACTGCAGGTATTCTCCAAATCCAAAACTGGTTTCATCAATTCGAACATCTTGTCGTTGAGGCCGTTCAGTAGGAATCCGAGGAACACTTCTGCTTCTTCCTGTCTGCCCTCAGTCAGGTCCTATCGCAAATTGGCCAACATCTTGTAGATCCAGATAGGCTCGAATGGCACCGTGTCCATCAAAACGCTGTCTTCTTTTCTTGCCGTCTTGTTGTAGACGTTTCTGCCACTCGTCTTCTTCACCAGCGACAGATGGTTGAATTCCTGAACGAAGCGACACATGCCATCAATAATCGGGATACTCAATTTTACTTGATGAAATTTTCTGTGCTAGACCAACTAATGAATTCAAAAATGAAGGACAAGCATTTAGTGCTTGTGGAATTGAATAAATGTAGCTATAGTTCCTATAGTTTGGTGAACCTCTAGGTTGTAAATTCATATATTTCACCTTCAAAATATAAAAAATCAAATGCTGACCCATTCCATCCGAAACAGAAGTACCAACTGACTTGCTGGAATCGAAGTGATGTAAAACAAGTTCGTCATTGTTGAATGGAGGATGATTTCATCAGCAGCGACGTTCTACCCCATTTATATCTACTATTAATATATAGTTCTGAGAATCACTCGATTTCATTATCAGTCAAGAAGAGCTTTATTATTTTCCTTTTTCATTTATTTTTCGAGAGGAATGTTGAGAGTGTACAAGCCTCCCTTTAGAAAAAAAAATTATTTCAACATAATTTTCAAACAATATCCAGGTCAATTATTATATGTCTGAGAAGGTGAGGCTTTTGACAAAAACCCAATTTCGCCAGCATAATCGTGTTGTTGAATAAAACTGAGATATATTGTACGGGGAACTATGATAAAGATACGACTGAGGTGAAGTGAATTCTAATTATGATGATGTCTGTAGATTAATCGAATCGAATTCTCAGGATCTCCTCTCCACGTTCAATCTGATAGTTGTTCAAAAGATCTGTACTTCGTCCAAAACAATCCATTGAAAGTTTGTAGCAACGCTCTTTCGACTATATTGTCATCATCAGTGATGACTGCAAGTTAGTGACGAAGAATGAAAATGAGGACTTGATAATTGATTGGTTATTCACACAATTATTGAGAAGTGCTGAATTGAGAAAATAACTCATGTTTTCTTAATGAGAATTCACTCAATGGGTCCAAGAGAAGTTGCAAGTCCTAAATATGAGGATGATGTTGAGAAAAAGTTCAAAGAAATGATTCATAACCAGAGTGATGAAAGATGAGCTACAATCAGGAGTTATGCTGGAACACGAGAAGTGATCCAGAGGATAAGAACTATGAGAAGTCTCGACGTCAAAGAACAAAAAATGAATATCTGCAGAATCCCACCAATCTGACAATCCTGGAACAGGAATCAGCATGATGGAAACTTCACCCATTCTCAGAGATCAAAAATTAGAAAATCTCCACAGCCTCTGACTCCTAGACAAGTATGAGGTAAACAAGAAACCTGAAGTGATCTGAGTGCTATCAGAGAAACTATAGCGTAAGAGGAGAAACTTGTTGCTATATTTGTGATTGTTGAGACTGATGATAAGAATTTCGATGATGTTGATTATGGAACTAGAATTGAACAAGAGGATATCCACCATAACCTGGGCTCCCATTTTGTCGAACGTCGATGAAATATCCCAAATCATGTCCTTAACGGTGATCAAAATGAGCCAGAAAACTTTTTTCCCCATTCAAACTCTACCTGACAATATAATATCCTCATAAAAGGCATATACTGCAGGAATAGTTAAGTATTCGGACTGTATAAGTGGTTTCTTACTATTCAAAACATGTGCACTAGTTCATGAAATCGTCTGCATCAAACCCGTGACACCCGTGAAATACACTGAGGCCTTTCAAAATCTATCAAGTAGGTGCATCCACGAGAGTCTGGTGTCTGGTACGACGCCACATATCACGAATCGACACAGAGCATATATTGAAACAGTGGTGGAGTGTGGGAGTGTCAATCGTAAGATCAAAGGGAATTATTCGCATCGGAGTAAATATTTGACGTAGCTATCCGACACATGAACTTCGATTTGGATCGCGGGCTACGTATATCAGGGATAATACGATGTTTGATATCGAATGATCAGATGCAACATCCGAGAATAGGCATCACAGAAATCCGGGTGTGCTGTGAGGGTCCATTAGTGGGATGAGTGGCGTTCTTGATGATGCACACCCTCATGTTGTTCAGCCAAGCAAGCTCCCTTATCTCTGTTTATCGAAAATCTATCAGCATAATAGTGAAATTAGGATATATGCTGGCGAGATCATGTGCATTCGTTTTATGTTCGTAGAGTTATTTCTGAATGGGATGAAAACCCATATCTGGGTATGAAAGTGAGGTGGTAGTGACTTGTATAAAGTTTGTAACATTCTTATTCATTATTGATTCGAGTTCTATTGTGACAATTTCTAACACATCGACTGTTACTTGAGGCATAATACTTGGGGTTGGGTTTTTCGAAAAAAGTTTGAGATGATTGAAAAATGCCATTTTCTCCTCTGAAAAATCGATCTCCCATGTGAATAATTTATTGAACTTATGATCGAATCTATGATTAGTAGTATGTGTGATTCATAAAACCATATGACCAAATGTGAATGGCGTATGGTGAATATATTTCTAAGATGGCCATCACAACATTTTGTGACTTTTTCGTTCCTATTATGCTGATCCGAAATATCAACATATTGTTTACACTACACTCAACCACTCCCAACTATCAGTCACTAATCTCTGACAAGAATGTTGCTTGTTACATATGATGAGTACAAATTGGTCTCATTGAAATGAATCATTTGGACATATTTGTCAATACCTTTAGGAGATGAAAAGTGAATTACAATATATAACAAAAGGTTGTAGCTACTTTTTGAACCAACGAACCTCTTTGAATGGTTTCCTTGAATATTCTGGGATTTTCTCTCATCGTTTTTATGTACAGGAATATGAGTATAATTCCACATTACTGAAAAATGCCAAGCAATTTATTGTCTTATTCAGTGCTCTGTAGCACCTCAAAAAACAGTACTCTGAGGTATGAAAACTGATATATAAATGCTCATTGAAGAATCATCATCCAGTTCGTACCTCCGGACATTTGGTTCACTCTGTATTGTTCAAAGTGAAGGGTGGAAAAAAATAGAAATCTGTTGAATCTAGTAGTTCTGTCTGTAGTTGCTGAATGTTTGATTCAGCAGTTCTGGCGATTTTGTCTGAAGTTTCTGGTGGTTCTAGATACGTTTTATTTATTCGATTCTGCCACGGAAATCACTTCATTGTTCAGTTTCATCTGCAACTATTCCAATTCCGGTTGCAACTTCTCATTCCATTCCACTACAAGAAATGACATGGAAACATTTTTGACAGTTGTCAAAAAATGAGATTACATTGACGAATAAGAAATTCTTAGAGAGAAGTAGAAACCTTGAAAGACATTGTTACCGAGAAGTTCCTATGATTCTTTCTAGTAAAACAGGTTTCATATCTTCATTCCTAGATGCAATTGATTTTATAGATATCAGAAAACGTTCTACAATCACCAAAATCACTGCTCCAAGAATGCTTCAATTTTTTGTTTCTTTCAACTCCACTAATATGATGTCGAAATTAATCGGAGCCCCAAAAAGCTCCATCTGCTCTATGATATGTCAATTCTCAAATGCAGAGTCATGAGAGCATGAAGTTTCTTATTCAATATGTGAACGTCATTCTGCTCCTCGTTCTGTTCCCATCCTCGCTATGAGAATGAAACAAATAAAAGACCACATCTGTCTGTATCAAAGTAATAGAAAACAACAGTTGACATTATAACTCTGAAATAATCCATGATTTCTTCATTCACTGTCAAAATATCATCTGCAACACCGCGGAACCAAGTAACTGCAGAAACCAAATTCTCCAGGAGACACTTAACACATTGATTGCCAAGCTCATATCTGGAGTTTATCCCACGGGGCCAAAGGTACATTTTAGTTCCATTCATGAATTTTCACTTCCAAAAATCAAGTTTGACCCTTAAAAGTCATTATTGATTTTTTTTTCATCCATTTTGTTTGTTTTTCGATGTCATTCATATATGAATGACGTGGCCTCCCATGTTAGCCTAAAGAGTTATTTCACCACGCTGGGCCACGTCATTCAAATATGTATGACGAATATGATGATTGTTTTTTTTCTACTAGCGTGCGGAAAAAAAAAACACTTTTCCGCACCCATTTCAGTGTTGAAAGAGTCATTTTTCCGCACTAGTGCGGAAAAAACTCTCCACAGTGAAATGAGTGCGGAAAAGAGGAATTTATTTTTCCGCACGCTAGTAAAAAAAATAGTGTACCTAACACATGCGTAATAGTATCATTTTCCGCACTTGTTAGGTAAACTACTATTTTTCATTATTATGTAATATTAGTTTTACTGTTTTTACGATGAATAAACCTTTTCATATATGATTTTTGTATTTTATTGTCTTGCATCACGATCTATCAAAATTTGCTCTGGCCAAATATGCCTGTGACTTCCTTGGAGGCCACACATTCATATCCCCATCTGAATTGCATTGGCTATCATTCATATTCGTATGACACGGCCTCACAACAAAAATATGTCGTCATACATATATGTATGACGCGGCCTAAACGGAAGTGGTAGTGTCATTCACATATGTATGACGTGGCAATCAATGTGTTAAAACTAAATAATTTTGGGTGTACTGATCAGATTTGATAGTGAATACTGTCTGTAGGTCAATCGAGGAGGTGATACTCTCATTTCTCGCCAGATTTTTGGAGATTCTCTCTCCTCGTTTCTATAAAATAAAAATATGAATATTATTTCAATATACGTGCAGTAAGGACTAACGAACACAAGTACAATATCAAGAAGAGATATATCGATAAATCGAAGCTAACTGAACATATCCTCACTGAAGATGGACAACATATGGCAGAGTGGAATAATATCGGAATCATAGGAAAGGGAGGTAACAACAAGGAAAAAAAATCAAGGAATCCGCTTGCATTCTTCTGAAAGGAGACAATAGCATTGCTTCCTGTTTAGTTGATATAGATAGAACATGGTATTTTCCACTGAAAACTGAACATGAAAATGGTAGATTTAAGATCAATTAAGGAAAACATTCTGTTACTCATTTCCAGACTAAAATCACTCATTCATCTGTCAACATCAGTATGACATTGAGAATTGTCAAACTATAAGCAGAGCTAAT